GAAATATCACTTACATTTTCTCTTCAAGGAAAGAAGCCCCTATATGCATGCTCTCTAAACTCACAGCAAAAGATCTTCAAGATTCAAAGTGCCAGTTACCAGAGCAGCGACCGTATTGACTCACCCACCAACCCTGCTCTTCAGATTTACGACTAAATCTGAGGAGATGCAAGCCAAGCCAAGCAGCTAAAATTCTTGGACACGCAGATCTCCCAGGTGAAGAATCTGGGGTGCCCTCAGGAAGCGGGTGGGCAGAGTCCCTGTTAAAACCCAGGCAACCATGCCCATACCCATACCTGCGACCACCGTGGCAATGGCCCAACTCCATTGCTTAGCTAATATCTCTGCAGAGACACTAACCTGCAGAAATACCAGGTCCTCGGCTTTCAGGCTGAGAACTCTGAAGATCTTGGAGTGGGAATGGGCAGCCTCTCCCACCTCACATACTTCCAGAAGCCCCGCTAGCCACGACTGTCTCCCGCAGTCACCACCATCTTGATTCATAAGCCCAATTCTACAGATCCTGAAGTTTCTGGACCATGTGACACCTCCAGCTTTCACAATACTAACATCCCAGGAGGATCACATTATATTAGATGGATAAAGTAACACAGATGCCACTTTAGCTCAACAAACAAAAGCAATAATGCAGAAGGCTCAACTGGCAATGAACCTCAAGTAAGTCCTCAAGACAGACTTAACAACCCTGCGGTGAGATATAAGACCTTTCACAAAGTTTCTTTTACTGAAGTATTTTTAATCATTCCTTTAGCCATCTAGTTGTAATAAGCAATATAAAATAAATCATATATGCCTGCTAAGGGAACAGGTTTGGGGGTGGTTGGGAAGATGGGGACATGGTGGTAGGATCAGTGCTGATTTTTTTTTTTTTTGCTTTTTGGGTCATACCTGGCGATGCACAGGGGTTACTCCTGGCTCTGCACTCAGGAGTTACTCCTGGCGGTGCTCAGGGGACCATATGGGATGCTGGGAATCGAACCTGGGTCGGCCGCGTGCAAGGCAAACGCCCTACCCGCTGTGCTATCTCTCCAGCCCCAGTAGGATCAGTGCTGAAACACTAAAAGCCCATGACAAGTGAATCATGACCAATTTTGTAAATCAGTGTTTAAATAAAGTATTAAAAAAAAACAAACCAAAATGCCAGTTGCCCTACATCATGAATGAAAAAGCCTCAGAATTTTTCTATGGCAAACTGGAGTTTTTAAATACTCCATTTTCAAGATAGAATTTTTTCCTTTTATGGATTTATGATTGGTTATTATGAAATTTCAGAGGTCGAGCTGCACACCTATGTACATGCACAATTTTCACCACTCCTACCTGCCCGCAGCTCTAGACCATCCCACAACATGCATATTCTTCCCCTCCAGTGAACACCAGTTTCCATGGAGTCTAGGAGGTGGTTCTGTTCTTTTTTGCTTTAGTTCCTTTGCAGTTCCTTTGCTTTAGTCAAAATGGGAAGTTAAGAACTCATGACCTACGGGATATGCAAGGACAAATGAGCCAAAAGACTAACGGTACAGTGTTCTTTATTATACACAGTCAAATAACAGTTTAAGTGTACAGTCGAAGGATAACTGAAGCCTAGATGTTATAATCATAGGCATTACTTAAATAGAAATAGTTTTTTGTTGTTGTTGGATGTTTTACATTAATCTGAACTTGCACTTAACACATGCCAGGATCACCTAATCTTATGTAGTTCAGCTGTTAAATCATAACAGGGAAAGGAAAAAAATTGGAATATACATTATATTTTGCTCTATTGAACACATACACCAAATATTTGGGACACAATCAAAGTGAAGACAGTGCTTAAAGTTTTCCAAGTGACATTTATAAAAATGTTTTTGTCATTGTTATGGGGATTTTCAGTTCCTTAGAAAAGAATAAAAAAGCAATTTTAAATACTAGGTTGCTGTTCAACTTTTCTTAACTTATACTGAGTGTAAAAAAATAATAACAAAACATAAAGTAAATGTGTTAAAATGTTACATCTTTATAGCTTCAAAGCACTGGCAGAGACTAAAAATCATCTAATCCTACTTAAATTTAAGCAGGGAGAAAAAAGTACCAAAAAAACCCAAACAAACAAACAAACAAACAAAAAAACACACACACAAACCGGCATGAGCAACATGAGAAATGCTCTGGATCTTGTGAGCAAGTCAAAATATTTTTATTTTCTATTGCACAACCCTTGTCCATGGCAACCTTAGACATTTGGCATTGCTGCATTGCTGACGTCCTTACAGTTAGCCTGTCCCTCTGCTCATTACCCTGTAAAAAAACGCTGTTGTGAAATTTTTGAAGGAGAGACTCAAGGAATAAAAGCTAAGTGAATACATTCAGAAGTTTGAAATGAAATTCTTCTGTGCAACTTTTGACAACTTTGTCAGCAACAATATTAAGTGTGATGAAAACATGATTTGTGGCATTGACCAAAGAGCTCGTGAATTTAGTTCTAAATTCTCAGAATTTTACATATATTCTAATAAAGACTATCTCTCCAGATCCTTATCATTTATTTTTCAAGACCATAATTTAGTTCATTGGAATATTCTGTTCTAACTTCTAAAAGATGCATGAAATTCAGTTTTTTAAATGCTTCTTATAAACAACCAGTTCTAATCAATTTTCTAATAAATAAGATTACCAAATAATAGTTGATCTCTTGTGGAGAGACCAAGAAGGCTGTGTGTGTAATCTCTAGAACAACAAAATTTTTTGCTCTTTTATGGAAAAGTATTTATATGAAAAAGAATCCTCGTACAAATGCCTTATCCAAAAAAAAAAAAAAGATGAGATGGGAATTACAGGAAAATAGGGAAGCAGAAGAAAAAAGGAAATATCCTGATACATAGAAAAAAGTGGTATTCATCCTAGAAATCATCACCTGTTGCTACCAAATTGCTAAGAACAGAAAGAAAGTAAGCTTCAAAGTGCGGATAACTGAGGAATGCATTCTTCTTCAAACAAAAGAAAAATCACATGTCTTGATTTGTTCGAAAAGTTCTGAAACATGAGGGTGTCTCGAAGAGATTTGCTCTTAGACTCTCCCCGCAGAGGGTCAAAACTATCTCCTGCTTGCACTTGATTCCACAGTACCTACCACTGTACCCGGTATATCCAGGTGCCCAAAGCATACTGGATCAAACAATAAACTATGGGGTTTGCTGAACCCTAAATGAGCCATCTAATTTTAATGCAAAATATAATTATTCATTTTCTATTAAATAGATGAAAGTTTCTATGGCACTGGCCTTCATAAGAGGTGACAGTAGTACTCACGTATATTATTTTTTTCCCACAAGGTCATTTCTACCTTGAATACAATTTCATAAGAAACAACTACTGTGTTCACTAATGCTAGAAAGAGTCAAGATAGAAAGGATAAGTGAGGAAATCACTTATCCAAGCAAAGTATCATCTGCTACAAGCATAATTACCATCTTAAATTATATATTTTTAAGAGCGTGTGAAATATTTTTCTAAGCAATGCAATGTTTTGGTGGGAGTTATATATATACATATATATAATTACATATATCTATATATATCCATATACACCTGTATGGAGATATTTGTGTACCTAGAACTATTTCTATATCCATACACATATGTATGGATATATCGATAAGTACCTAGGAATTTGGAGAATTTTCTTCTTATAATCCAAAGGTAAAAAATGTACATGTTTTTAATATCATATATATGTATATATATCCACATAATATATACATATATGTATATTGTATACACAGATATATGTATTATATATGGTTAAAAATCCTACTGTTCAGTACCGCTCTTCCCCAGATCTTCTAAAGAGATCATGAAAACATTATTATTTGACTTGGGAAGTGCCTTGCAGGGAGGAGACTCTAACTTTCTTGGAGGCTACCAGATCGACCCAGTGGATAATTTCATCACTTAAAGACTCTATGTTCAATAATTCATATATTTGATCCCAGCATTGTCAGAGGCTTCACCAATGTTTTGGTAATCTGGAAGTAGCTAATGTTTGCCAACCGGCAAAGGAAACTTGGTGAAAGGTGTGCCCTCAGCCAGAGAGCTTTAAGGCGGGAATGCGAGAAGGTTTAAGAAAACAGAGTGCTACTCATCACCCCTCTCCTCTGTGCTAGCTCAGAAGCCTGCAGGAGGACGCCCAGGAATAACCAGGAGCTCAGGAACCTGGTTCCTGCATGCAAAGCAGCAGTCTTTTGTCTTTCGGGTAACTCTTGGTTAAAATAAGTCCTGCTCTTCGCTTATGGTTTGGGAATATGGCATGTTTCCTGCTATTGTCCTATTTTATTTTCCCGTATTAGACTTCTTTTTTTAACAGTGATAGATGACGAGGTGATATGACTCTGCTTCACAGCTTCTTTCTTTACCGATCACAGTTTAAACTAGTTGAAAATGTACCATTAATATCAGCACAATAGTACAGCGATGGGCATTTCAACTTCAGAAATAAAGTAGATGTGGCATATTTACAAAAACGACTATTCAAGCTTATTTTCTCCCTGGCCAGTGGCACCAAAAGGAAAAGTGTTAAAATTCTATGGGCTTTCACTGCTTTGTTTTGTCTGAAAGTGCTATTTGCCCCGCTAGTACCTGGCATTCGCTACAGAGTTGAATATTTTTCTGGGAGGCCACAGGACATGCTTTTACTGCCATGGCTGATCCAAGGTGCCTGTTAGTCTGCCAACACCCTTCAAACACTGTTTACCCAGTGTTGCCTGCCTCTTGTTTCTTCCTATGAAGAAAAGCTGCTTAGGATAGCTTAAGCACCCGAAACCTGCTTTTCTAATCACACTGTACTGGCACGGGCTTAAAAGGAGGCACTAAAGGAAGACAATGGGAATAGCATGTGTGTTAGGTATTTGCACATGAATCGAGGAACCTCAGTCCGCTGCAAATCAGGAATGATGGGAGCCACTGCCCGCGACAGCATCGATGCCGCAGAGCTGGAGACTTGGCCTGGCCATCGTTAGGACACAGACGAGATGGGGTTGTGTGGGGAACCCATTTGCGTCAGAACTTTGTCCAACCACTGCAGGGGTCCATGAAGATGAATCTCAATCCAGCACGGCGTGCTTGTGACATCCTGGCGATGATACTCGGCTCCCCAGCCCTAAAAAGCAAGAACCGGCCCGGAGTGAGTGTCCACATGTGACTGGCAGCCCTGGAGGCAGGCGGCAGCTCAGACCCCCATGGGGAGCTGCTGTCACCTGGCCCCTGCACCATGCTCACCGGGTCCCTGTGCTCACCCTCTCTGACCCCTGCTGACCCAGGTGACTGGAGGGCCTTATACCTCTTAACTAAAACTGAGAATACCTCCTGCCCAGTGTGCCTGCACTTGAAGATCTTCCTTATTTCAGCGAGGGAAATGAAGTAATCAGAATCTGTGTCTCCGTGAAGATTGGGCCATAGGTGACATAAGGACTGTGATGAAGGCTCACGGGTGTGTTGGTGGTGGTGCAGGGTGGTGATTTTTGTACATCGTCATTATAAACTTCTAACACTCTTGTAACCGTATTATCAAGACAATAATAAAAGAATTTTCAAAAACCCAGAAAATACAAATGCCATGCACTAGCTGATCTTAAGAAAATGAGCTTTCTTTTCAAGTCCATATTCAATGAAATAATCACCTCTGAAAAATATTGACATTAATCCTAATTTTTAAAACTGATCTGGAAAAAAACACTGTCCAATGAAATGACTGTTCATTAGTGAAAATTTAATGCCCTCTGCTGGCTCTCAAACATTAGAGCATGTGAAAAGACCTGCAGGTATCTGCTAATTGCTTTACTGTTTTGAAACTGCTTTGAAAACTTAGCAATCATTTTGAATAAAATCGCTTGCCATCATGAAGAAGAAATAGTTTCAAAACTAGATCGTTTTTAAAACTAGAAATCATAAGGATAGTTATTTTTGAAAGAATTATGATGACAAACACAATTTGAGCACAGAAAACTAGGACAATTAATTATGGGAATTTTAAAAGATGAAAAAAAAAAGTCATCCATAGCTCGGCTGTCAGGAGCACAGAGCTTTGCATGTGCAAGACCCCAAGTAAATCAATAAATATAGAAGATCAATAAATTTGGCTGGGTAATCTTATCAATGGCCATGATCCAGAAATTCATTGTCCTTCTGTCTCAGAAGAGAACATAGGGGGCTGAAGCCATAGTACAGCGGGTAGGGTGTTTGCCTTGCACACGGCCAATCCGGGTTCGATTCCCAGCATCCCATATGGTCCCCTGAGCACCTCCAGGAGTAATTCCTGAGTGCAGAGCTAGGAGTAACCCCTGAGCAATGCCGGGTGTGACCCTCCCCACACACACACACAAAAAAAGCAAGAAGAGAACATAAAACAACACGCCATAATCATGCTGCCGAACCCCACGCCAGGCTGTTTCATTCGGGGCACCCCAGAGGGGGTCAGGTGAGGCCCCTCCCAGCCCCAACAGAGCCAGCCCTGGCAGCCGAAAACCTTCAGAACTCAACTGCTGCCATGATCACAGCTGCCTCCACATGCTTGGGCTGGGCCCCACCCACAAGTGAGTCCATTCCTGGACAGTGCGGCCGCATCTCATGCCTCACACCACTCATATTCCAAGAGTAGCACACCACTTTTGATGGGATTTAAAGTAGAAGGCAACCAATCTTTGAGGGAAACATATTTTTACAGAAATATATATGTGTACATATATATGTATATACACATATGAATATAATTAATACTTATATATATGAACACAAGGCTCAACCTTTAAAACATGTTGGTAATCTCTTACAGAAGGGCTTATTGGCCCTTGAGTGAAATACAACAATCTTCACACACTTTCCTCTAAGGAAAGGTTTTAGAGCCTTTTCAGCAGTTTATTCATAACAAACAATACAAAATAAATTATTTCGGTTCTGCTTTGGGCAGGGCCTGGGGTTCGGGGTGAAACATCACAAATATGGCGGTGGGAAGGTGTAATGGTGGTGGGATTGGTGTTCAAATATTAAATGTAATCAAATATTGTGAACTTAGCACTGTAGCACTGTCCTCCTGTTGTTCATCAATTTGCTCGAGCAGGCACCAGTAACATCTCCATTGTGAGACTTGTTGATACTGTTTTTGGCATATCGAATATGCCATGGGGAGCTTGCCAGGCTCTCCGAGAGGGACAGTGCAATTGAACCTGGGTTGGCCTTGTGCAAGGCAAATGCCATATCCGCTATGCTATCACTCCAGCCCATTGTGAACTACTTTATGAAAATAAAATAAAATAATTTGACAACAACAACAAAAATCAATAAATTTCACCTCAAAAAAATTTGGAATAAGTCAGCTAATTCCTTGAAATGAACATGTGGCTATGTCCACTGTGTAACAGATACTAAGTTTGATACACAAGCTCCAATTTTGAAATATTAGAATTATTTTCAAGTGCTATTTCAGAAATGATGCAGCAATGATAGAACTGAGTCCTTTATTTTCAAAGTGCACACAGTAATTTCATTCACCCTAAAATACTTCTTTAATTCTTCAACCTTCACTTCCACCTTAACAAGATCAAATTTAAGAAACTAAATATTCATCAAGGAAACACCCACCATTCTCTCAGAACTAAAGATATCCATCATGCTTCTGACCCATTTGGATTTTGTCTTTATAGCACAGCGGGTAGGGCATTTGTCTTGCATGCAGCTGACCCAGGTTCAATTCCTCCGTCCCTCTCGGAGAGTCCGGCAAGCTACCCAGAGTATCCTGCCCTCATGGCAGAGCCTGGCAACCTCCCCGTGGCATATTTAATATACCAAAAAACAGTAGCAACAAGTCTCACAATGGAGATGTCACTGGTGCCCACTAGAGCAAACCAATGAACAATGGGAGGACAGTGTGACAGTGCTACAGTAATCCTTAATTTAGGAGCTAGCAGAATAGTGGGTAGAACCATGCACGAGGCTGACCCGGGTTCAATTCCTGGTACCACATGTTTCCCCAGCACTGCCAGGAGTAATTCCTGAATGCAGAGCCAGGAATAACCCCTAAGCACCACTGGGTGTGACCCCAAAGTTAAAAAATAATAATAATCCTTACTAATAATAATCCTTACTCTATATTATTTTGTGTTAGAGCCAGTACTCTCTTGCTTGTAGCTTATTTATGAGTAGAATTTCCTTCATTTTCCTGTAAGCACTTAAAGAGCCAAGAGTAACTTATTTTATTCAGGCTGGGCCCATCAATCTGTATTGCATAACATTAATGCTTGGCAATTAGAAGGGTTGAACACTTTTTGTGGCATGACACCTTATAAATTTACTCCTGTCAGATGAGACATGATGAGATCAAGTATAAAATAAAATTTAGTGTAATAGACTTTAGATTCCAGAGTTTAAAACATATATGTGTAGGGCTGGAGTGATAACGGGTAGGACCTTGCACGTGGCCTACCCAGGTTCAATTTCCAACATCCCATATGGTCTCCCGAGCACCACCAGGAGTAATTCCTGAGTGCAGAGCCAGGAGTAACCCCTGTGCATCACTGGGTGTGACCCAAAAAGCAAAATATATATATGTATATATATGTGTGTGGGCTGGAGCCATAGCACAGCCGGTAGGGCGTCGTTCGCCTTACAAGCGGCCAACATGGCCGACCCGAGTTCGATTCCTCCGCCCCTCTCGGAGAGCCCGGCAAGCTACCGAGAGTATTCGATATGCCAGACACAGTAACAACAAAGTCTCCAATGGAGACGTTACTGGGCCCGCTTGAGCAAATCGATGATCAACAGGAGGGCCTTTACCTTTTTACCTTTATATGTGTGTGTGTAAATAAGAATAGGTATTTTATTAAATTTTATTAAATTTTTTATTTACATACATCAAAATCATGGGATGGAGCGATAGCACAGCGGTAGGGTGTTTGCCTTGCACACAGCCAACATGGCCGACCCGAATTCAATTCCTCCGCCCCTCTTGGAGAGCCTGGCAAGCCATCGAGAGTATCTCACCCCCACGGCAGAGCCTGGCAAGCTCCCCGTGACGTATTCGATATGCCAAACACAGTAACAACAAAGTCTCCAATGGAGACGTTACTGGGCCCGCTCGAGCAAATTGATGAACAATGGGAGGACAGTATCAGTGACATCAAAATCATATAGTAATCACAAATTGGCTCTTACTGATTTATTTTCTGATCACTCTAATTTGCCATTCCTTAAAGTTTTGTTAGAGTAAGTAATATAAAGTAAAACTGTTGTGTGTTGAAGGAGGCAGGTTGGGACTGGAAGGGAAACGGGATATTGGTGGAGGAAGGTCACACTAGTGGTGATGGAACACTAAATGCTTGAAATAGCTGTATAATGAACAACTTTGTAAATCATGGTGTTTTCAATAAAAATTAATTCAAAAAATATTCATGTCACTTCACCTGCTGTGTTAAAGAAATCAGGTAATTACCTTCACTTGATTTTCCTGCAGTGTTCAGAGAGCCCCTCCGAACAACAGACTTCTCTGGAGAATCATCACCTGCAAAGGGTTTTCGGTTTCCTGTCCTCTTTCATGTCCCCTGCCCTAATCTGAATGCAAATCGTCCTTACCTTCACAAAACTCATGCGAATGGTGCACATCTTGGTCAGCTCATACACGACTTCGAAGCCATGGTGAACGGACTGAGCCAGCAGCTGGGCGAAGAGCTGGTTGTTGAAGATCTTGAGGCTACAGCCACTGGGGATCTTGCACACTGTGGCGGGGTGGAAGCCGTGCTGGTAGTTGCAGTTCCGGCTCTGCACAAAGATGCTGCTATCGCTCACGCACTCAGCGTAGACCTCTCCGCCAACGTAGTACAGATGCACGCCTGCAAGGCAAGAGGGGAGCCTCCAGACACCGGCACAGTGTGGGGCTCAAAGGCCATTCTCTGCCCACCGTTGGAGCTTCTTTGCGACTGCAAGGGATAGACTCAGGGCTAGAGAGACAGGACACTTGCCTTTCGGTTTCTATCCCTGGGACCTCAAATGCTCTGCTGAGTATAGCCAGGAGTGAGTGCAGAGCCAGGAGTAAGCCCTGAGCATCCCCAGTTGTGACTCAAAAACCAACAATTAAATAAATAAATAAAGAGAGATATGAGTTCACTGACTATTGCCAACCCTGTAAGGTGTGCACAGTGGGTAGGCCGTTTGCCTTGGCACGTGGGTTCGATTCCACCGCCCCATTAAGAGTACCCCGCCCGCATGGCAGAGCCTGGCAAGCTCCCCGTGGCGTATTCGATATGCCAAAAACAGTAACAACAAGTCTCACAATGGAGATGCTACTGGTGGCCACTCGAGCAAATCGATGAACGACGGGAGGCGGTGAAGTGCTATCAAAGGTGTGAGACCCAAATGCCGACTTATTTTCATTCTGCTGCCTCGTTCTCCATTGGAAAGTGGGCCACAACATATTTTGACAACCCTGGCCAAGAACAAATAAATGAGTGCTCAGGTATTATTCCTTCCGCTGCACTCTCCTACTCATATTTATTCCAAAGATAAGGTCTCAGGATATTAGATGTATGATGTGTATCTAATGCAGAACCAGCCAACTGCCCTTCAGCTACATACATAAAAATAAGAATTGATTGCAGATAACACTCTGGAAAAGTTACTTAAGTGCATACACTAGTAACACCAGAGAATATAGAAAATGAACTTTAAATATGATTTTATCATCTATAAATTCCTTTATCTGATCAAGTACTTCAAAGAGACCTATTTAAGTTTAAAATTTAGTGCTTACTAGTACAGATCAATAACACCTGTATTTTTGCTGTGTTTTTTTTTTAACTTGGGCTTATTAACAGTGAAATTCCTGTCACACTTTCAGATATAAAACTCCCATTCAAAATGTAGGTAGCTCTGCTTTATCTCACATTCTTGGAGTTAAAAGGCAAACATAGTAATATCTTGAGAATTCTGTCTGTACTCATAGTAATTTTCCTTTCTTTTCTTTTGCTTTTTGTTTTTTGGGGGGCCACACTCAGCAACGCTCAAGGGTTATTCCTTGATCTGTGCTCAGGAATTGCTCCTGGCAGTGCTCCAGGGACCAGAGATTGAACCCAAGTTGACTGCATGCAGGGCAAGCACCATACCCAGTATCTACTCCTGCCCCACTCACAGTAATTTTCATTTCATTGAAATATTACTAGATCCTTTCAAAGGCCCGGGTCTGAGAGGCAACACAAATTTCTAGGCAGGGATGAAGAGCAGATAAAATAAAGAAGTTCTAATCTGGGGAACAGAATCCCAGAGCAGTCCCCCGGCCCCCTACCCCCAAACCCCCAACCCCGCTCCAAGTTTTCAGCAAAAGCAAAACTGTCCAGCACTTGATCATAACCCATTCCTACCACTCTGAAGGACCCAGAACATACTTAGAGTGATGGCTTTGGGCTCGCCTCCCAGTAAAAACACAACCTTCTCAATAGGGCTACAGACTTCCAGGGCTCCTCGGGACCAGATCACAAAACCACTGTTAAGAAACTCTCCTGAGCTAGGGGCACGGCGGGTTCCCCCACGCATTGCAGGCAACTCTGCATCGTAAGCCATCTCCTACCTCCCTCTGGATTACTTCCTACTGCCATCGCTTTCCCCTTAACACACACTCAGACTGTTGACTGGTTAAAGAAACTTTGGTATATCTACACAATAGAACACCGTGCAGCTGTTAGGAAAGATGAAGTCATGAAATTTTCTTGTAAGTGGATGGTCACGAAGAGTATCAGGCTAAGTGAAATGAGCCAGAAAGAGAGGGACAGACAAAGAAGAACTGCATTAATTTGTGGAATCTGAAATAACACAATACGAGACTAATATCCAACGACGGTAGATACAAGGGTCAGGAATATCGCTCCATAGTTGGAAGCCTGCCTCATGAGCTGGGGGAGAAGGCAGCTGGGATCGAGAAGGGCTCACTAAGTCAACGATGGTTGGAGGATTGCTCGGGATGGGAGATGTGTGCTGAAAGTAGACAAAGGACCGAACATGATGGCCTCTCGGTATCTGTATTGCAAACCATGATGCCCCAAAGTAGAGAGAGAGTAAGAGGGAGATTGTCTGCCATAGAGGTAGGGGGACGTGTGCAATGGGGGAGGAGGGGGGAGGGATACTGGAGACACTGGTGGTGGAAAATGCACACTGGTGGAGGGATGGGTGTTGGTCATTGTATGACTGAAACTCAAACATGAAAGCTTGCAACTGTAGCTCATGGTGATTCAATAAAAAAAAAAATTCACTCTCAGCATGGAATGGTTCTCAGCATGGAACGGTTCTGATATTCAGACAATTCTGCCAAAGAAGCCAAGGCAAGTCACACAGCTCTAGGCCTGCTTGTCATGTCAGGCTGAAGGTCGTGCCTGCTCCAGCTGCCTGAATCCAACTCGCTCCCTTCCAACTCTCCCTAACTTTCTCCCCTCCAAGACTCACTCCCAATGCCTGGAGTTTGACACCAGGTCCAGCACCTGTCTGGCCCAGGCTGCGGTGAGTAGGAATGAGGATCACTATCGGCCGGGACATGCTTACATGGCTGGTATCAATCCAAAGGATGGCCAGTGAGCTCCCAGGAGAAAAGCCTGCTCTGATGCTCACAGTATCCCCAAAGGCGAGAAAGGGACCCGTGGATAGGCCGCAAGGCAGAGCATGTGCTCCGCGCGTTGGAGGCCCTGAGCTCAGTTCCCGCCACAGCATAAGTGCCATCTGGGCGATCCACACTGGGCTCAGCTTTGCTAGGGGCTCTTTGCTGGTGGTGGCCCCTATAGCACTGTCCCTGTCCTCCCGTTGTTCACCAATTTGCTCGAGCGGGCACCAGTAATATCTCCATTGTGAGACTTGTTGTTACTGTTTTTGGCATATCAAATACGCCTCTGGGAGCTTGCCAGGCTCTACCATGCGGGCAGGATACTCTCGGTAGCTTGTTGGGCTCTCCAAGAGGGATGGAGGAATTGAACCCGGGTCGGCCGTGTGCAAGGCAAACGCCCTACCTATTGTGCTATCGCTCCAAGAAGTATGTACTTGGGGGCTGGCGCAAGATAGTACGGTGGGTAGGGCATTTGTCTTGCACACAGCCAACTTGGGTTCGATCTCTGATACTCCATATGGTCCCCTGAGCATCACCAGGAGTGATTCTTGAATGCAGAGCCAGGAGTAAGCCCTAAACATTGCTGGGTGTTACCCAAAAACAAACAAACATCAAAAAGAAGGATGCATTTGAATGGAATGACCTTTCAATATATAATCCTCCCCAACCTATTACGTAGGATAAGAGTTTTGTTCTCTCAATGCAGAAAAGACATTTGTGCACCTATGTTCCTTGCAGCACTCCTCCCAGCAGCAAAAAGTCTGGAAATAGCCCATGTGTCCAAAGACAAATGACTGGATAAAGCAACTGTGTACATAAATCCAGGATGGAATGCTACTTGGCTGTAAGAGAAGATGGAATCATGAAGCTTGTTGCTACATGGATGAATCTGGAGAGAATCACACCGAGTGAAGTTAGAGATACAGGACAATCCACTCAGATGTGGGACCCAGAGAAACACAACAGGAGAAAAACATTCCCAAACAAAGAAGAACAGGAGAAAAACATTCCCAAACAAAGAACATGAGACACGGTCTTCAGTAGGGAGCACTGCACTTCTAGGAGAAGACAACGATGATGATGATGATGATGGTGGTGGTGGTGGTGATAATGATGATAATGGTAATGATAATGGTGATGATGATGGTGATGATTGATGATGATGATGATGATGATGATGATGATGATGATGGTGATGATGGTGGTGGTGGTGATGTGGGAGGGAACTGGTGGGGGTCGGAGGGCTCATGAGGGGGAGGGAGCTCTGGAAGTTGAAGAAATGTTGCAAACCCTATCTGTAATGGTACAGTAAACCACTGTGTGAAAAGAGGGGGAAAACGCATAGAGGCAGGCTAGTGGGTGGGAGGTAAACGGGACAATGGTGGAGGAGAGTGGACCCTGGTGAAGGGACTGGTGCTGGAAAATTGTATGACTGAAACTCACTCATGGACAACGTTGTAAATCACAGTGCCTCTTTTTGTTTTGTTTTGTTATCTGACCCAGAGTCCCCTGCCCCCTTGCCTGGCTGTCTTTAGCGGGGCCTCTAGGAGGGGGGCGGGTTGAGTCTTCCTCCCTGCCCAGAGCAGAGCCCTGGCAGCTGAAGACTTCCGGAACCCAGCTACAGCCATGCTCAAGGTCACTCTCCACTTGCTCAGAGCCTCACGCATGAAGGAAGCAGCAGAGGAACCCAGGTGTGCGGGATCCGGGGTTGAGATCTCTAAGCCTGCTCGAATCGAGACTGGGCCTCCTCCACCCAGGTCCTCCCTTTTCCAGTAGCTAGGCAGTCACACCCACAACTTGCCCCCAGCGCTGGGCAATCCCATCAACAGCCAAGATCCAGAGACTATAAAACCAAGCTCCTGGAAGCACGGCTGCATTTGTGGCTGTGCGACCTCTTATTGTCTAGTTCTCACTCTCGAAGAACCCAGCAAGCTACCGAGAGTATCCTGCCCGCACGGCAGAGCCTGGCAAGCTCCCTGTGACCTCTCTGATATGCCAAAAACAGTAACAATGATGGGTCTCATTCTCCTGACCCTGAAAGAGCCTCAAATGTGGCACTTGCTAAAATCTCAGGGCTAGGACGGATGGAGACGTTACTGGCGCCCACTCGAGCAAATCGATGAACAACAGGATGACAGTGATACAGTGATCTGACCCAAGATTTGACTTAGGGAATGGTTTTTGGTCCTGTTCAAGCATTTTTTTTTGTTTGTTTGGTTTTGGGTGCACACACAGCAATCCTCAGGAGTT